CTTCTAGAGATCGTGTATATATTTAGATATTTACGTTATTTATGTTTTTAAACAAATAAATTTTTTATGATTGCTTTTTTGTACATGTTTAGTTTGTGAGAATGATGAGTTGTCCAATAATCAAACTCATAATGTTGTGTACAAGGAGGTCTTTAATAATATATGATTGTTTCTTTGTCCAATACTATCTTATTATACAATTTTCCTACGTATCATAAAACTTTTATTTAATATTACATCTTATAATATAATATTCCCCAAATAAATATACTCCTGCATAAAAAAAATAAAGCATACCACATAATTGATAAACTAATCTAGAACGGTATAGGGGAAATTGGCATGATATAAGAACCACGTGCCGAACAACCTATTCATTAGCACAAAGATCACGCAACGCGCGAGAGTAATATTGTTGTGCCGTCATAAATGAAGATAAGGCACTGATAATACAACTTAAACATTTCAATGTCAAGCCAAGTTCAACATTTCATTTTATCTTAACTTTTATATAATCACATTTCTAACAAACTAATTAATAAGTTATAATATAATTATTATAATATTTTAATTAAATAATCATTTGTCTAACCAGATTTATCTCATTAATAAACTTGTCAATTTTTTTGAAATTATAATGGTAAGATTATTCTTACGGGTATATTTACCATAATATTAGACACTTTAGAAACTTTTAAAACTGAATTGAAATTATATCGCCTTTTACTCTACTTAAAATTCAAAATTATATTTTTAAATATATTAATAAAATTTATTATTTATTTTTTCCTTATGTTAAAAATTAATGAAATATTTTGTTTATTGATTTCCTTATAGGGGTGTTTTTGAAACATTTAATAAACGCCCATGTAGATTTTTTCCTTATATTTTTCCTTATGTTAAAATAAAGTTCTTTTTGAAAGCACAATTAATTTTTTCCTCAAATATTTAAAATTTCGATACGCTTATTGGTTTATGATGAGATGACATAAGTTGGGATTTTCAACCCAATTTCAAATGTTATGTTGTCTAATTTGTTACATTAATTATATTGAATTTGATTTTATAATAATTTGAAGTTGTTATTTTAATAAGATCAAATTTAATTTTATAATAATTAAATATATGATGGGAATAGAATTTTAGATTAATTTTTGGATTAAAAAAATTAAATAAGAAAGATAAAAAGATAATATAGGATAATATTTGAATTTCTATTATAATTTAATCAGTAATTTGACTATTGGTCGATCATTGACTAAATCGGTATGAAGTAAGATTGAAATTGGAATATGAAAGTGCTTAAAATATTAGATGATTTTGATGTGTAAAAATAAAAATAAAAAATAGTTTTACTTTAAAGTCTAGATTCTTTCCATTATTTTTTGTACATTAACAATCATCGATTGGATAATTGATTTATTTTTTTAAAAAAGAAAATCAAAACTGCAAGGTTTAAAAAAATTTCTTAAATAAAAAATATCATGTAAAGAGAAATGTTTAATAATATATATTTTTCATTGTCAAAAATTCTATGGAGCCATCGGATGTAATTCTTATAGAGTCATCCACCACTTAATGTATTGACACATGTCCAAATTGTATTTATTGCAGGACACGTGTCAATACACTATTGGTGAATAAGTGTGGATGACTCTATAAATCGAGTCATCCGATGGCTCCATAACAAAACTATTTTTGTTATTGTATTTATTTTATTTTCATAATGAGATGATATGTGAAAAATATAAACAATTAGATTTAAAATAAGTCTAAAAAGATTTAAATATGACCTTATTCGTGCATGCATGGTACTGATATGCACCAGTGTTTTTCAACCCGGACCGGCCCGGTGGGTCGACCTGGGACTCGGTCGACCCGGAGCTGGAACCGGTCCGGGTGGGCTATTCGGACCGGGAAACAACGGACCCGGTCAAACCCGGTCAAAATCCGGTCAACCCGACCTTAACCCGGTCGACCCGGGGCATTGACCCGGTCCTATATATTTTTTTATTATTTTTTTTTATTTTTTAATATATTTTTTGTTTTTAAAAAATAAAACTATTTATATATATTTATATAGTAAATATTTATCATGAAATACATATTATTAGTACTTTAATGTGCAAATTTTATATACAAAATATTTAATTTTATTATTTTTATATATATTTATAAGACAAAATACTCTATATATAATTTAAAAAAATTTAAAATTAATTATCCGATTCAGCAATTAACCCGGTGACCCGGCGGTTGAAACGGTGACCCGGTGATCCGGAGACATGCCTGGGTCGATTCCCGGGCCGGGTTTAAAACCTATGATATGCACTAGTTAAAATAAGGAAACGGTAAGAAATAAGGCATTGTAGGTTTTGACTGGGTCAATTTGTTTGAATGGTCATTGGTGGAAGACTATAGAACAGTCATGACGTCCAATGTGGACTAATATTAATACTCCCTCCATTTTGAAATATAAGGCGTATAAAGATTTCTCATTTTTTTTGAAATATAAGGCGCGCTCAAAAATCAAGACAAATTTTTGCATTTTTTTCCAAATATACCCTCATTGTGTTGAAATTAAGGAAGTGTGGAGTGGTTGTGATTAGAGTAAATAAGGTTAATTTAGTCAATTTATTCATTAATTAATGTCTCCTTAATATTTGTGCAATAACCTTAAATGCCTTATATTTCAAAATGGAGGGAGTACTGTATAGTATAAGCCACCACTCCAAATTATGTTTTCTCTTTGATGGATCATACATATTTCTATATCCTTATCTAGGTATTTGTTAATCCCATAAATAAAAAAAATTGGAAGTATCACCTATGTTTTCCATTATACCAAATTCCTTAATCATTTTGGACAGAAATTATGCCACTCCATAATCAATTATTAATCCACGAAAATTATAATAATCCCACCACTAATTATGTCCGTGAACATTTCCATGTATGATTTGGTTGACGGGAATTTATTTTATTTTATAGAGAAAATACGCACACGCACCTAAATTTCATTTTTTTTTTTTTTATTTTATTTTTATTTTTTTTTGGGTACAAAATACGCAAATTGAATGTTGACTTTGAAAACGTCGTGGTGGGCCCCATTCACCCTTCTTCCCTTCCAACAAAACGCGGAATCCAAATTGAATGTGGGAACCTTTTCTACCTACAGAGTCAACGCTAAATCTAACTCAAACATTAAGCATGATTGGATATAAATCCAATCCAAAAAAATTCAATCATTTTTAACTCAATCATTTTTTTTAACTCAACTTTAACTCAACCCCACTATCATCAATATTATCAATATAATTATATAATATCAATCAATCATTCTTACACACAATATCAACCTTAATTCACTATTCATCAACTCACATAATTTTAACTAATCATCACATCACATCTTCTCTCTCCTACTTTTACATTGATTTAATTTCAATTATTTTATTTTAAATATTATTTAAATATATCCACTAACAACTAACCATACCAACTTTTTTAAATTTAACCAACTCAAACCAAAAATCCAATGAAAACAAAAACTTTTTATATCCAATTTGTTGAGATAAAATACATGTTTGTTTGTTTTTATTTTTCCGATTAATTGTGTGTTTAATTATATCACTTTTTCTTCTCCATTATTTAATTAAGTTCTCCTTTTTACACTTCAAAATTTAATTTGGTAATTTTCTTCATCACTCAAATACTCGTGAGGGCATAAAACCAGAGCCGATCCTGAACTTCATAAGACCCTGGGCGAAATGTGCTAAATGTTCCTTTTTTTTTTGAAAAAATTCCTAAAAAAAGCATAATGATATTAGTTATAATAAAAGCTGTGAAATTTAAAATATAATTATAACTAAATTTTATATTTTAAAATTAACAAATGAAATGGATGAAAAAATATTTTCTTTCTTAAAACATAAAATAAACGTTAATATTCTAAACTTTTCCTTTACTTACATATATATCTTAAATTCATTGGAGTATATAATATATTCAAATTTAGTAATTTTTAGTCGGGAAAGTATAAAATTATTAGTTTTGATATTTAAGAAAACTAAAAAATGATAGATTGAAACTTGTCTTAAAATGAGTTGATCGCAATTGACTCTTCTAATGATTATTAGTAACATTATTTAACTGTGTCTCACGAAATAACATTTTCTATACTCAAGCTAGAAGCAAGAAGAGAAAATTTAAAAAAAAAAATGAATCAAAAGAATATGAAGTATGTAAAAATGTATTCAATTTACTACTAATAATTAATATTTGTCTTTTTCATGAAATTTATCAAATGAAAAAAATAAATAAATATTTTTGCTAAAGAATTAAGCAAAACATAGCTATTAAATTTATTTTTTATATAGTTAATATATATCAACAATTAATAATATTAGGTGCTGGGGTAAGTGGGCCCCAGGCGGCCGCCCTAACCCAGGGCCGGCTCTGCATAAAGCAAATGGAAAGTTAGGAAATTAATATCTACAAATGGAAACAATACATCTTCTTGAACGTGATTATCCAAATACCTGTGAGAAACGTGAGCATATGTTATGCATTATATGTGAGTGACAATAATTGTATTGTACGAGATTGAATGGTTTTTCGCTTCTATCCATATTTGTGGGTTAGTTATCTGTTCGGAGTCTAGCACGCAGATCTAATTAAATGTGAATACCATGTTGTGATTTTTTTATTTTTTTTTTTCAAACGATAGAAATCTCGTTAGTTCAAATAAAGTTTACAACGCAAAACACACTGCGTGTGAATGAGATGACCAATCGAGTTGGCTTAAAACCGGGACAAACCGGAGGCATTATGCGAGTGACAACCAGAACACGAAGATCCCATTAAAATCAACCTAGACCAGGAAACAAAACACGGCTACCTAGACCATGTTGTGAATCTTTGGATTTAACATTAAAGAGGGGGGATTAAGCCAAATTTATCCAGACTTGGTCGGAAATTGAAGTCGTTCTCATGATGAACTTAACACAGAGCGAAACCAATAAAAGTAGTTATTAGTTATAATCCTTTGGGAGCATCAATTTTTTAAGTTTAAATCAAAACACACTCGTGTAAACATGTGAGTATGTATGATTCAAGCAGACAAAATTATGTTTTGATATCCAACTTTGTGCAAAGTCAGTAAGTCAACGCTCTCCCTAGCTTTGTTTCCCATCTTCGTTATCCATCCATCATACATGAGTCATGACCATAATAATTTAATACTAACAACCTTCAATCTCCTCGAAGAAAGAGCACAAAAACAAACAAGAAGAAGAAAATGGGGTTTTCTTCCACAAATCTATTACCACTTACATCATTTTTATTATTTATCACACTTTCTTGTCCAAGTAATTTCCGCCCCGCCCAAGCTCAGGCCTTCCCCTGCCGCCGCGCCGGCGCCACCTGCCACGCCCTCATCGACTACGTCTCCCCCAACGCCACCACCCTCTCCGCCGTCGCCGCCCTCTTCTCCGCCCCCGACCACCGTCCCCTCCTCGGCCCAAACAACCTCCCCCCCACCACTCCGCCTAACTTCCCCGTCGCCGCCCGCCAACCAATCATCATCCCTTTCCCCTGCTCCTGCGCCTCCAACGGCACGGGGACGTCCGCCGGCCGGCCCGTCTACACGGTGGTTCCCGGCGACGGGCTCTACCACATCGCGGCGGAGGTGTTCGCCGGCCTCGTGACTTTCCGGCAGATCGCGGCCGCCAACAACATCAGCGACCCGGACCGGATCTTGGTGGGCCAGGATCTGGTGATACCGCTGCCGTGCGGGTGCGATGACGTGGAGGGGCGGCGGGTGGTGCACTACGGCCACGTGGCGGCGCAGGGGAGCACGGTGGAGGGGATCGCCGCCCGCTACAACTCGTCGGCCGACACACTGCTGAGACTCAACGGGTTGAACAGCTCACGGGATCTCGTCGCCGGGACTGTTGTTGATGTTCCGCTTACACGTACGGACGGTCATAAGCTTATATAGTTCAATTCATCACTAATTGTTTAATTTTATTGGCCTAATTAGGAGGTGAAAAAAGGCAAGCATATTTATTGATCTGTGAGTGTTGATTTTGGGACAGCTTGTTCTTCGGTGGTGAACAGTAGCTCACCGGACTACCCTTTACTCGTTCCAAACGGCACCTATCAACTCACAGCAAACAACTGCATTCTCTGCAGGTGTAATGCAGCATTAAGTTCCATGTAAGTGAAAGCCTCCCAAATGTATATATGTGTTCTTTCTTTATCCATTTTCGTTTGTTCTTTTTTTTTTGTTTTATTACCTATTGATCACTTTTTGCTGCGGTCAGGTTACAATGCGAACCGAACTCGACTTGTACTGCCCCAATCCGTTGTGAGGGCTCGGGAGACTTGTTTCTTGGGAACACGACAACCTCAGGTTGCAATCGCACAGCATGCGCGTATGCCGGTTATAACAACCGAACCATTTTCACAAGGCTGGCTTCTGAATCAACTTGCCCCGGTATGTATAGTATAGTCCCTGCATATTCTACTCACAATTTCTACTTCAACATAAAGAATGGATCTTTGTGATATTTTTGTTGGGAACAGCCTCATCTGGAATGAGCTTGCAAGGTTGTAGGTGGACTGAGCTTCTCGTCGGCGTTCAAATCATCGCCTTTTGTTTACTTTTTCTCTAGTGAGATGATTTATAGCTATTTATGTAAGAAGCACTGGACTTTATTGATGTTGTCAGAAGCACCTTTCCACACCAATTTTCTGTTGTTTTTATTTTCTACTAGTCATTGTGTGTTTGTTCCCACCTTTGTACAATAAACAGATATGTTAAATCATGTATCCTTATTTTCCTTTCATTTTTCATGCCTGCAAATAGAAACCCACCAACAGGCAAAATTTTTTTGACTCTGCAATGCATCACTACTGACCAGGTGATACATTTTTTCTGATGAAAATAAAAAATTAACAAACATACCCAAATGGAATAGAATTTACTATTTCACATATGGGGTAAAATGTGATCTAAAAAATACTGCTCAGTTTTCCAAAATCATGGCAAAGTAGCACAAAAGGATACAACCAAGCAATTTCCTGCACAAGTGCACAGAGACTGATTATATGCTGCAACAAATACATAACCCCCATTTCTATAACTATGGACACACATGTTTTAAACAATAACATCTCTCAAGTTCAGTAAAGTCAAAATCATCTCAAAGTACTTTCCAGAGCAATAAAAGTCCGCCATCGGCAACCAGAGGTAAGAAAGAAGAAGAGTTGCTCTCGAACAACAAAAATGCAGCCGCAGCAATTGCAAAAGCACAAGCACGTTAAGTCTATTTCATTGGGCTTGCACTATGATTGCCTCCCAAACCCATTTTCTGGCCCAACAGCGCAAGCTGCTCGACAAACTCACCCCCCGTGAGAATCTCGGAAGTACCATAGATGACATGCTTGGGAGGCTGTTGGCGATGGACAAGCTCTTGTAAGCTCCCATACTCCACATAATTTCCACCACCAACCATGAACACAATAGCCTCTTTAAAAGGCCCTCTCATGTGGCTGCCCGAGCTCGACTTTGGCGCACGGGGATCGAAAATGAGGTACAAGTCAATTTCAGGATTAGGCTTCCCCTCCATTAGAGCATCGACTGTTCTAGTCAAAGCCAGCTGATGATCACTGGACAGTAAATTCTTCACTCCCGCAGTTACAGCACTAATTGACTGCCCGTAAAGTTTTTCAGCCCAATCGACAATATTGCTCCTGCTTGCAGAATTAGCCGACGCTAAGGACACGTTCAGTGCTTTTATCTTCTTCACATATTGGAAGGCACTGGTATCGACCTCAGATTCCCTCAGTGCAGTTTCCACAACTTCGATTTCTGAAGGCGGGATGCTCTCGGTCGAAATCAGGTACATGATGGCAAATCGTAATTTGTCCATCTTTGTCCCTTTGCCCTTAAGCACGCCAAGAAGCTCATTACGGTCGATCCCTCCTCTGATCATCATGTCGCTTTCCTTTTTCGCAAAAGAATCAAGCGATCTCTCCTTAATCTCACCCAACAGTGCAGTTGCGATGTTGGTGTGCTTGTCAATCACTTGTTTCCGCTCGGTCAATTCGGGTAGTGAATTCACCGCATTCATAAGATGCTTCGTGTTGCCAATCAAATCAGTCCCGTCAAACTCGGCCTCACCGCCACCTGTTCGCCTATTCACCTCCTCAACATCTCTTTTGTACTTGCTCAACTGCGTCTCAATCTCGACAGCAACTTCTGGAAACTCGAGTGACCCGTTTGCTGTCCAGAAAGGATCAGAGCTATCCAATTCAAATGATTTCATCCCACCTTTTTCTCCTTTCACGTTCAATCTATTCAACCGAAGGCCGAGTATATCATGAACGAGCGGTTTGTACCTGAAGTCGTGTTGAATGGCAACAGATAGCTCGAAATTCCGATCAAATAGGCACAATATTGGCCTCTGAAAAGTGCTGGTGAAGTTCCCCCCGTCGTTGAACAAATTGTTCTTCGCCAGCAAATGGTCCCGCAGTCTCTGGTCCAGCAAGGATGCCACCATCTCAGCTGGCCCTCCTCGAGGACACCTAATAATGGGCACAACTGCAAGGGTTGCAAGAACACAGAACAACCCTGCAACAATCTTTTCAATAATTTCCTCAATCTCCTTATCTCCAGCCGAAGGATCATTCAACTGAACATAACAGTTCTTGTTGGCAAGAGAAAAGAAGTTATCCTCCAGGGTCACAAACTCCAAATACTGATCATGCACCTTTGCAATCCTCTGAATTGAATCAGAATTAATTGTCCCTTTAACAAACNNNNCCTCAATAAGAGCAACAGCTGAAACTTACACATTGGATCTAACTCGGCAAATGAGATCACAAGCACAATTCTCAATCTTAACAACAAATATGAATAACCCACCCAAGATGTTTTCCAATCAATCCAATTCTAAAGCGATTGAAACAAAAATTAGCAAAAGCTGAAAACGAGGATTTGGGTAAACAGTACCAGTGGCGAGGTCCTCGAGGAGAGGCCTGGGAATCGATGATGAGAAATTGAGGTGGAAGGAGTCGTAGAGCGCTCGGGAGGCGTCGGAGATGACGCGATGCACATTGGCCGGGGTCGGCTGGAGGAAGTAGACGGCGGGGACGTCGTGCACGGGGTTCCGATCCTTGTCGAGGAGGAAATAGAGGGTGACGCCGTGCTTGCGGAGGTCCTTGACGTGGATCAAGGGCGACAGTATGTCCTGACAGAACCTGTCGTAGATCAGGATCTTGTAGACCTCCTCGTTGGCCGTGCCGGCATCGCCGCCCACCGCCTGGTTCAGGTTGAGCATCCGGACGATGCAGTCTGCAGATTCAGTTCAGAAATTACATCCACCATTACAAAAATCAATTTTTTTAAAAAATACAACCGCTGGGATCTGATTTACCGGTCTGCTTCTGGCGGAGATTTAGCGCCATCTCGGTGAGTTTTCGGAGCTTTGAGAGAGGGAGAAGATGAGAGATCTGACTGAGAGTTGTACGCCTTCCTAAAGAAGTTGCATCACTACCGCTCAGTTATTATAAGTCGTATGTATCTTAACAGGGCTGAACTTCTCGGGCTGGGTTTAGCAAGCCCAAATTAATATAAACTTTTATTTTCTTATATAGACTACTTTTTTTTGTTTTTGTTTTTTTAAGTAATAGTGTATCTTATGAAGATTAAATTCATTGATACACTTTGATAATTGAAAATTCACCATCTTTTTTCAAAGATTACTTTAAATTGATTCTATAATTTTCACATCACCTAATTTTATTTTCTACAATTTATATATATGCAACTATCTATATTTAATTTTCAATTATAAGAATAATCTATTTATCTCTGTCATACTAATTTTTACTAGTCACCGCCCCCTTTTACTATTTATCTCAACTGTTATTCACCGTTCCCCTTTTACTAGTCACCGTCCCCCTCCCCCCCCCTCCCCTCATTTACTCTTTCGGTGCTCGAATCGTTCGTTTGAAGTTCAGAAATTTAGAGAGATAGAAAATTTAGAGAGATAGACTCTGAAAAAGGGTTAAGGACAAAAGTAAAATGAGAGCGGTAAATAGTACCACCCTTTTAATATAACATTTTCATCTAACATTATTTCATATTTTTGAAATTTATGTTTATTTTAAAAGAAAATCTATATGATTTATTCAACAAAAATAAATATATACATACAAAAACCAAAATGCATTTTCCAGTAACCAATTTCAAATTCAATAAAATATGCAAAAAATAATATAACACAAAAATGGCGATTTTATTTATGTATGATCAAGGGTCGTTTTTTGAAGAACAGATTTTGGATTCTAGCTCGCAAGTGGCAAAAGCATCCCTAATATAAAGGGTCTCAATCCACTTTCTCTACTTTTACATTGAAAATGCTTACCAAAGCTGCTACCTTTTTGATCTTTCCATCATTTATATCTTTTGGTTGATTTTATGACTTGGAGAGGACCCATTGGCTTATGGTAGTGTTCATAAGGCTCGTTTGGCTGGAGAATCCCTTTCTTCAAGGCAAGTTTCACCTCCTTCTTTCATATAATAGTATGTTTCTTGTTAGTTTCTACTCTGTATTGTTATCTATTGTATGTTCTTTGGGACTTTGGATGGTAATTGGCTGATTTTTAGAAGGGAGACATTTCTTTTTGGTTTATGAGCAGAGTAAAGATTTTCAGGTTCTTTTTGTGTAGTTTGATGTGATAAACTATATTGAAAATTTTGAGCTTTATGAGCAGGACAGAGATTGAAGCTTGTACGTTATTCATCTTCTGTTTATGGTCGTATAAGTTAGCTATACGTCGGTTAACCTTACAGATTTAAAGTTGGATAATTTGCCACTTAATTTCCGGAGTAGTGTTCACGAAACGGAAAATATTACCCCAACTGTTAGATAAAGCTTCTGTGTTTTCTTTTCAGGATTGATAAAATCAATTCTACCTACATTTGGTGATGAAGAAAATGAACCGAGTGATTCATAACAGACTTGGAGTTATTTCATACGTTCATGGTTATTTGTCTTGTCATACACATTCATATCATTTTTTTTTTCACTACAAACTTGTCTTGTCATACACATTCATATCATTTTTTTTTTCACTACAAACTGTTTGTTTACCGTTTGAAACAAGGATCATGCCAACAGTTGTTTGCATAATGTGAGAATTCACACAATCCAGTTTTTGCAGCATTTATATTAACTGAAAACATCAATCTCAATGTGAGAATTCACTTAATGTTCCTCGGAAGAAACGGTAGATGCTCGTTCTTAGTCATGAGGTGCAAAAGTGAATTGGCTTTCCTCTGTGCTCTGTTGGTCCCTGTCTTGGTGATCTCCACTAAATGCTCATAAACACCATACTGCAGTGCCGCCAGCATACAAGAAGAGTTGTTGGAGCCCAACTCGAGAATAACTGCGGTGGCACACTCTTTGTTTTTGGGAGTCCCTTCCCTCACTATCCTCACCAGAGTCTGCACGAACGAAAGCCTCCCGATTTCATTCCTCCCATCAGGATGCGAAGCGATAAGCAGCAAAATCGAGAGGGCTTCATCCACCATATCCAGCGTCTTGTTCTCCAGCAGATGAAGCAACGGAGGTATTATCCCGGCCTTGATTGCTCTCCACCGATTCGTTTGGTTGAGCACTAAACTGAAAAGTGCAGTGGCCGCATCTTTCTTCCCTCTATCCGTCCCGGTTTGCAGTAGCCTGACAAGTGGCGGAATCCCATTGGAACAGCCCACCAAGACCTTGTTCTCGTCGAGAACCGAGAGACTGAAAATGGCGGCAGCCGAATTCTCCTTGGCCTCCTGCGTCCCTTTTCGTAGGACTTGAATAATAGCAGGAATAGCTCCTTCTCTGGCTATGAGCTTCTTGTTGGCCTCGTCGAGGGAGAGGTTTAGAAGAGCGGTGACAATGTGCTGCTGGGTTTCGGGATCTGAATACGAGAGGAGAGACACCAAAGGCGGGAGTCCTCCGGCACTGGCGATGAGGGCTCGACTGTCGGGAAACTCTTTGGAGAGCACGCGAATTCGTACAATGGCTTCCTTTTTCATGTCGGTGTCTGAAGAGTATAAGTTTTGGATGAGGCAAGATATTTCATCAGCGAGCGGTGACGAGGCGATGTGGGGGTCGTCGTAAATTTCTTTCTTGGGGAGCTCGTAATTGTTTTTCTCGCACCATTGCTGGATAAGGTTGCGCAGGGCGAAATTCGGAGCCACCGTGAGGTAATTCAGTTTCTGCCCGGTTTTCGGGCAAGTCCTGTGGCCGGAGTTGAGCCACTTCTGAATGCTCTCCCGTTCGTAAGTCTGGAACAATAAAACAAGTCCTGTGATTGATATATCTTTGCAACAGAATCTTTTCAGTATTGATTAGTTACCTGGCCGGTGGCTGTAATTACAGGATCGGACATGATCTCTAAGCTGATGGGGCAGAGGAACTCGTGAGGGATCAACAGAGAACGGCTCTTCTCCAAGCACTTGATGAGGGTTGGGTTGTCGAGCATGCTTTCATCGTCCATCCCAGCTACAAGTTTGAATTTTCGGAGCAGGTCTAACACACGTTGAACGGCACTTTTGCCCTTGGCCTTGACGAGTTTTCTGACAGCTGTAGTTTCGGCTTTGAGGTCGGCCGGTGTGTATAGATCGAGTTTCTTGGCGAGGCGCTCGATTATTGCATCATCCGCGCCACGCTCGTCGTTTCGGGAGAAAACGACCATCATGTCCATTGCCAGCTCCATGTCCTGTGTGTCTGTTCGCTTCTTGGCTCGGCTAAGCTGCGTGTGCATTAGCTCTACCTGGTGGATCATATGTTAGTCCTAGGTTATGTTTGGTAAAACTAGCTGCTAATAGGTGATAAGCTAGCTTATAGCTTATAAGTACTTTTCGAGCTTATCTGAAAAACTAGCTTATATGATAAAAATTAGCTGAAATAAAATTTCATTTGAAAAACTACCTAAAGAAGCTTATGAGATAAGTTCGAGCTTCGTCCTAACAAACGAAGCTTATATTTTTTTTCTTTTCTTTTTAATAAAGTAAAGAAGAGAAATATTTATTACTTGCTCTTTAACTTCTTCAGAGATGCCTAGCTCGTGGTAAGGCATTTTGTTCAGAGCCTCGTTTATCATATCGTAAACGCCGTGAAATCTGCTCATCACTGCCTCACTCTCCATGGCCTGAGACAGAGAGGAAAAGTATGCTCAAAAAACACTTGAAAAAAAAAAAAAGCAAAAACCAATGAAAAAAAAGTGATGAAATGAAGTTTTCTTACCAGAAAAATTTTGCTGTCAGAGTTGCAGGACTTGAGCAGCTTCTTAGAAGCCAAAAGTGATTTCTTGAGATGAAGCAGCTTGCTTAGATTCTCATCGGAAATGGCGCAAGGCTCGAGTTCTTTAATTTCTTCCATAAGAGGGGTCAGAAGCTTCAATCTTCTCACCAAATTGAGACACTCTTTCCTCTGAGTTTTCCGGAAAGTCGAGTAGGATCCGACTTTTTCGATAATCTCCAACATTTGATTCGCCACTTGAACTCCATCTTCTTCATCGCCACACGGAACAAAGCTCGTGTTTTGGTTCTTTTCGGCACGGCTTGCTTCTCCATGCTTGAGTATTTGCAACTCCATTTGAGAGATAGTGAATGTGTGGTTTTGAGGTAGCAATCTCTCTGTGTTTTTCAGTTTTCTCCTCTCTCTCATGAGCAAGAAAAGATAAATATGAGCAAGACAAAGTTTATTGGTAGGGACTAAATGATTTGGAGCTACAGAGCTAACAGAATACTGTTATTTTAGTGAAATGAGAGGAATAATCATTTTACTACAGAATTTCTGCCGTGAATGTGGTGATAACTGTCTGACTTGAGTGTGCTTGCTTTACTTTTAACTTTATCAAAATATTACTGTTTTAATTAATTTATTTTTTGGTTGCCTTTTTGTGATTTAGAAATTTAAGGATGTTTTTTGCCTTTTTTTTTTTATTTTATTTTTTTCTTTCTTCTGTGGGTGACGGTCGGTAAATTAAAGCAAGTTGGGCCACGCGGTTTTGGGTATATGGACCGTCCTTTCACATGTCCCGCACTCTCTTGTCCTAGTCTAATTT